TTGGAAAGTATTAAATTCGTTGAGTATCAATAAAAGTGAGCAGCATATCACTGCCGCATCCTCATAAAACAGGTAAAACACAGACAACATGACCCACGTGAGCTCCTTGAAATCAGAATTAGAACATGGCCAGTCATACCAGTTGCTCTGGACGGGGATTCAATCAGAGTTTGCTTCGCGAGTCTACTTCTTAAAGAGCAATAAGACGGACGGATAGAACATGGCATCCTAGACGTTCATGAAACCTGTCATCACCAAGCTCCATACCAGCAAAGCAAGGTGTATTTTCCCTTGACCAGTGGCAGAATCTGACAGAGGAGGAGCGTATGGTGGTTCACTGCTGCTGGGCACAGGAGTAGAAGCACCGCTGCTACTAGTCGAGCTGGTACGGTGAGGAGTCGTCTGCTCTACAGACGACGTAGTGGAAGGTTCTGACGTGGAAACGCTAGTTTGAGACGTTGGCATCGAAGCGGTGGTAACCATGGTCGGAACTGCCGGGATCCAAATGGTGGTAGAAGGCTTTGAGAGAGTCGTGCTTGGAAGTTCGCAGACAGTCTCCGTGACAGTGAGGGTGACAGTATCTACATATGAAGGCGTGTCAGCACATGGACAAATCACAAATACAGAAGCAGTGGGCATAGTTAGGGCAGAGGGCTTACCGGCGCGAGGCAGATATTTCAGGTCCAGTGGAACGACCGCTCTCTCCACTATCATGCTGTCAGCGTACGCAAGATTTGCAGTTAGGTAGTCAACATCAGCACTCACCGTTGGAATCCCTCAAATTCGGATTCTCATCGACGACTTTGAGTTCTTCTATCAACCCTGCCGAAAGGTGTTAAGAAAGCACACCTCAGTTGGGGTGACGAGTAGGGCTCAGAATCAGAGACGACTTACCTACTCCAGAGCTCAAAGTTGCGAGGTAACAAACAGCGAAGCAGAGAACAACCTTGACAGGAATCATAGAAGCCATGTTGGTTACTTCTAGGATGAGCAGATACAGAGCAGCAAGGAAACTAGATGCTGGAAGACAAGTTTGATGATTTGAGAGTTTACAAGCGGATGGCTGGACGAAGAACAAAATACAACAGGTGGGAGAAAAAGAGGGATAAAAAGGAGAGGGAAAGGAGCCAGGGAAAGGGGAGAGTCAGTTGCAAGGTAAGGTTGTTTGTTGCTCAAAGACAATGGTTACAGAAGGTGCGACAGTGACGACATCCCCCAAATAGGAAAGTTGTATACAGTAGACTGAGGACAACCATCGATGGGAGCACCCATCAAACTGGACGCACGAACAAAGACAAAGATGGGTTCTGCCATTCTTTCTAGTCGGACTTGAAGCACGATGGTCTCTCCCAAGTTACTCTCTGAGTTGCGTAGCCTGTTGTGTCAAAGCTCAAGGACTCTGATATAGATATGATCCCCCTGTGGAGATGACAAATGTAACTTACCACATTTGTTCTGCGCGACTTCAAAATCCATGTACGGTGAGCCTAGGTGAGCCTAACTGATCGACTGATTGATCCGATAAGGTGATTCGATCCTATCGATGACTATATAATGTACCATTGAGGTGCTCAGGAATACTTATCCGCACGAGTATGGAACAACTAATCATAACTGTTGGATATCAATAGCATCTGACTCTCCAGGATACTACTCGACGATGGGCCTACCTCGAAATCATGGATGTTATCAACCAATCTCAAAAAACGCTGTGAGACATCTCTAAACAGTTGACAATCTGTTCATACTCACTTCGGATATCTCCCTTGTGCCCTGAAACGTGACTGTAAGTTCATCAAAATAGCATAGTTCAGACTTACGCTTCCATTTGCCACTTAACCTTGTCTAATATGGCAAAGACTGCAGGCGTTGGTCAGGTCTCCCAGTAGTCAGACGCTAGAAATAAGCATAATTGCCCTGCTCATCACCATCCGGTTTAGAAAAAGACTGGCACAGGCATTTTTCGAGTAACTTAGACAGACCTTGGCATACAACAAACCATCCACTAGTATACTACCGAACTATAGGGGTAGCTTTGCTTGACCTGGTACAAGCTGTTGGCCTATATAACGAATTAGTATCGAGCAGGTGCATATCTACAGACGTGTAACCTATGAACAACGCAGTCATAAACTGCTGAGTCTTATAGAGAACCCTATCCATTCATCTTCATCGTTTGATGAACTACTATCTGGATATAGTATAGCAACGGCCCAGACAGTCTGCAACCGTATAGCCTCAATTTTACCCTGTACGGAAATACAAACATGTTGTGCCTGGACGTCTTCTATGCACTGTACCTGTAATAAACAGTATTTTTGGCCTGTATTTTATTTCATCTAAGAATTGATTGACCATGGGCGGCCAAACTCCACACCGGGACGACCCGCGTGGAGGTATCCATTCCCTTTCAGAAAGCAAAAGAATGCTATGACATCATGCCAAGGCCCGAGGTACAGCCGGATCCAGACTAATGGAATGACTGACGTCACATCTAAGAGAGGAGCGAGTTGGCGCAAAAGGCGGCAGAATCTGCTTTTCCGATTTCTGCACGGCAGTGTATGGCGGGTTTCGGCCTCATCCTTCCGGTTCCTTCACCAACACACTTTCTAATATACACGGGCAAGATGGAAACCAACTGTATCAGATGATAGTAACAAGAAAAAAAAAAAAAAAAAGAGGAGTCCTCCTGACAATGCAAAAAAGAGAAAATAAGACATCACATCAACGCGCAGATCGCAAGGGGATGAAGATCCTAAAGGTCTACTGATTGGTTGAAGAAAGTCCCACCGAAAGAGAAAACTGACAGAGCACAACCGCTAGTCCAGCCATGGCTTACGCACTGCGGCACAATCTGAAACTCGGGAAATCTGGATCATCCCTGCTTCAGCAAATAATATGGACAACTACATTTCCCACTAGTTCCCGGCACTGTGCAACGGTATTGTGCATACTAGAATTCTCCCCCTTTTTGGATTTCGCGACACGCAGTTCAGTCGAGCGTTGAATATCATCTCAATTGCCCATGAACAACAGTGATATGAGTCTGTCAAGATTACCAAGCCAAACCTCCCACATATGACGTACACTGACATTGGCTGCATGAAGCCAAGAGCCGATGTATCATTGTACGGTCTCCGGAGTATCGTGCCCAAAATGATCAATCAACAATGTGATTGGGGCTTTAGAGTCTAACTACCACCTCATTGGGAAAGTGTCTAATACAAATCATAAACAGCGACACTTTTTTCGAAGCGCCTGTGGACACAGGTCGCTGTGGAGTACATAAGCGATCAACAACGGGAGCCGAATTGACTGGAATGTCCGCCAAATCCCTTACGACCAGGGCGATTTTGGTCAAGAACAAGGAGGCTCCCCACAATAAAACACAGAGTAATTACTGATCTTTTATTTGACAACGAGTCGAGTATGAAAATAGGACAACAGCAGAGGAATACTCGCCTGGCCTTGTACTTACTTAGAAGACTGGCTGGCCAACTCTGCAGCTCTGGTGTTGTTGGGCTTTCTGCATTACTCTTATCAGGCTGTTCTGAAAAGTGCCTTCTGTACTGTAAATAAACACCAAGATACATTCAAGTTTCAGAGTGCCGATCTTAGGGTATACCGGGTACAACCTGTAATTTAAATTTTGTGGTCTGGCTTTTAACTGGGGGTAAAGGGCCCGACCACTCACAGACCATGGCCCATAAGTCTGTGCTTGGGCGGGACCTGAAATCTCATAGTCGCGCCAAACCCAAGTCAGTCCTCACAGGCAGGCAGGCATGTACATCAACTAACATGCTCTGTGTTAGTAGTTGATATTCTACTCACTGATACTCTATGTTTCCCAGTGTCTCTAGTTCAGAACCCCCTACTGATGGATCTGAGGTTTGAGGGACTTCATGGTATTGACATGCCCTTTTCATTATGCACATAGACCACTCCATACCTTTGACTCTATACTGCGCTTCGCACTAGCGTCTAAGACTATGACGTAATTCCTACTCGCCGATTTCTCAGTCGCACCCCCCACGGCATTGTCTTATATTTCTCTTGAATATTATATCTCAACCAGCAAAGGTGATCGTGTATTCTCTACTTACGCTGTATGTAATAACATGAACCAGAAAGATCCATCTGCGACATCTTTCCATGTAAAAGAGCGGTTTGTGGGGGTTTTTTTCGAATCAGACACAGCGTACCCTGAAAGCGGTTTCTCAAGTCTTCAACAAAATTTAGGAGAGGACCACTGACAGACCAGCCTTTGACCAAGACGACAATTTGTATCAAAAACATATCCGAGTCAGACTGAGAGGCGATGCCCATTCAAGACTCGGAAAACCACATAATACTTTGCAAGATTAAAGAGATAAAAGCAAGCAGAACACAGCAGAATGGAACAGGGTATCTATCTCGTATGCGTTGTTCCCCAACTGTGTTCTTGAATTCACAATCAGAAGGCAAAGGACACTGTAGCAGGCAACCACACAGGTAAATAGGCTGATATGCAACCGCACATGTAACAATCCCGAAGAAAAATAGTAAAGTTTTAAGGTGGGGAGGGAGGTGGGAAGAGGTCGTGAAAAAGTATGGCACATGAAATGGAGATATCGAGATGGATGAGATCGATAAAATCAAATAGAATCGATGAAACAATCACATTGTGACAGGGTATCATTGCCCGGGAACTCGTTTATTATCCCCGCAATCAACGCCCCGAAATAACATCAAAAAAAAGGGTCAACCAGCAAACCAAGCCCACAACCACAAAGGAAAAGCAGAGACATCGCAGGACTAGATAGATACCGTTTCGTTGCCCAACGCACCAGGCGCCAAATAATATAGGTTATTAAACCGGAATGGAATCTTGCTTATCGTCAAATGTTGAGTTAGCGTTTTTTCTCGTTTGTTTCGGCTTCGCTTCGCCGTTGAAGATGAAGAGTCTTTGAGCAGACAAATTTCTGCAACACAACGCATCTTTGAACCCGGCCTTGGTTGCATCAGTAGCTTAATTTGACCTCCACTGCGGGGTTCAGGTGTTCGGAACTGTTTGCCACTGCATGGTCGAACGCTGATGCTTCTGAAATCTCGACAACCATATCTTGGCCATCGGGCAATTCACGGACCACGTCGTCATCAACCATGATCTTAAGGCCGTTTTCCTTAACGTGCAGAACGCGTACTATACGTTGTGGATCGATCTTCTGCTTCATGGAAATTTTTTCCATCAAATCACGGACGGTTCGCTCAGTCAGATAGACTGCACGATAATAATCATCGCCCTTTCGGTTGGTTCGTGGAAAGCGAATGTAGAAACATGCAACTAGACTAGGTCAGTACTTTGGCCTCGAAGTAAGATCTCGCACTCGACTTACTCGGCTTTTGAGGACGCTCCGCAGGTGGTCTGTAGGTGGGATCAATATCCACGGCTTCGATGTATCCCATTGACAGATTCGAACCTCCAGAAATTCTCTGCACTTTGACTGGATGCTTGAGAATCATCTTGTCGCCAGAGAATTCAGAACTAGGTCGCGAATTGTCCCTTGAATTGCCCATTGATCCCTGGTAGCCAGAATCATAGAAACGTCCATGCTGCGGAACCTGTGGGGGATGGCACGGCGAGTTGATCGAGACATTGCTGCTGGTCGGTGACAGAGTATACGCAGAGGCATCGATACTAAGACGAGGGTCACCGGGCTTCGATGAGCCCTCCAAGTCGCCAGGTAAGATCACAGGATATAGATCCGGATCGTCTTGTTCGTCGCCCCGAAGTCCGAGAATACTCACTGGCCGAGTGGAGGTGAACATGTCCTGCATCATGGCCAACTTTGCATGAAGATCATCTTCCACAGGCAGTTTCTCGCCGTCCTGTGAGCTCATTGACCATGTCCTCTTGTGTTTGGAGATTTTCGCAGGGCGCTGGTCAGAACTCTTCAGAGAAATAGGGTTACCAGCTCGCTTCCGCTTGCCATAATTGCCTCCACCCATTTCGGCCTGAGCGATCTGCTGACGCAGCTTCTCAATCGTCTTCTTCACATGAGCGACGTCGTTAGACAGCTTCCGCTCGGCTCCATGGTCGCGGAAAAGCTTGACTTTGCAGTAGCACACTTCGGCTTCGCGGGAATCTGCGCTCTCTGGGGTAATAATCTCCGTTTTGGCACAAAGCCTAACGGGAATACCTTTGACACCTTTGGAATGGCTAAAATCTGTGGATAGGAAATTGAACCGAACAGAGATGGCGCATTCAGGTACTCCAGTCGCCGGATTGGCCGTCCACGTGACACAGAATCCATCAAACGATGCACTCTCCAGTTGAATTTGCCGCTGCTTGCGGTCTCCAATGCCTCCTTGGATCGGGTCGACATATTCAACCGCCTGGAGCTTGCCGCCTCGCTGATACGCCTCACTAGAGCCACGTCCCTCCTTCCATAATTGCCAGCAAGCAGCAGGTTTTGATCTCTGCTCCTCTTCTTGGAAAGAGACGCGGATGAACGTGCGGTATCTTACAGGCTGTCCCGTCATGGGCGGCGGGTTTGAGTCGACGACAGAAACTGAATAAGCTTGTCCTTTGTTTAGATAGGAAATAGGGATTTCGTTCTGATGCTTGATCATAGCGGTTGGGGCACGCAATGTGACATGATAGCGGAAACTGAAAATGTTGGTTAGAATGTCTTCGTAACTCACAATGTCGGGACACAAAGAATAGCTTACTTCTCACTAGATCCTGGAGTATCTGAAATTTCATGTGTTGTCGAAGCGGCAAACCGGGAAGTATTTCCCTGCATATCGACGTCATTTAGAGACAATTCATCCACGGACTCATCCATAGCATCGTAGCCTGAATCGCGGTGAACAAATGCGCTGGGCGCGAAAGACGCTTGTGAGGCGAATGCCTGTGGGTTATGAAAATGTGGATTGATATAGTGCTGATCATAGTGATCCAGGCCAAACGCCTGGCCACCAGCGCTTAAGGTTGGGCCGGTAATCTGCTGCGTAAGGGACATGGGTGTGATCATGCTCATGCCGGGCGTGTGTAGGTCTCCAGCTTGGCTATGGAAAACTGGCCCCAAACCCCCCGAATTCGGTGTGTAATACCCAGTCTGTTGGGCTGGGAAGTTCATATATGATAGGGAGTTCGGGTCGACAAACGAAGGTGTAAATCGCAAGTCTTGTGCGGCGCGCGGTGTAGCGTCATTCACTTTGATACCATCACTCTCCATGAGCCTATTTTTGAGGAAATAAGTCAGATAATGCCAGATCAAATGATGCGCGGGCACCGGCGAGAGATGAACGAATATAGGATAGCTAAGAGATTGCATACCTAGATGGAGTGATAGGCTGATTGCCAGCCACTTGCCCCAAACCGGGAGTATTGCGTTGCGAGCCTAAGGGCACTACCTCAGAAAAAGTTTTCTGGAATCGTTGAATGAACTCTTCGTCTGGCTTCTGGGAATTTTTTCTATTTGTGGGTGAGCATATATCCTAGGAGGCAGCCATAAACTACAGCATAAATAGCGAACTCGACATACCTGTTGCTGAACATTGTGGGTAACCCAGATGCCTGGGAGTTAAAGATTCAAGCAGAATTGGCAGTCGACAGGTCTAGGAACGGTGAACGACGAAGCGCCACTAGAGTCAACATTCGGATCAGGCGTGGTCGCTATCACTGGGAGGAGATTGTGCCAGTTGTGGTTTGAAATCTCATGGAAACACTCTCGTTCAAATCTTTTGCACCGTACTATGATAATCTCGGGTGGTTATCACTGATAGTCTTATCGTGGTCCCGAAAGTGGCCACTTGCAACCGAGTCGCTATGAGTTTTGCGATGAGAGATTCTTTTATCAAAGATTCTGCGGAAAGAGATCTGAGATTTGAGGGTTGCGGAAATGTGGGATTGGGGGAGTTGGTTGTAGCTGAAGCGTTCCTTTCTCAACGGAGACGGTAGTGACTGGGAGGATGTGACACCACGGACACAGGAGGGATTTATACGATATCGCGCTGGAGAAGGTGGAAGAGAGAGAATGAGAGAAGAGGTTAGATGATGAGGTAGGTCGAACGAACAGAAGTCGCGTCAATGGTGGAGAGATCTGTGAAGGCGCGATATGAGTAACGGAGGGGCGAAAAGAAGATGGTTGATAATGGGGTGGGGATTAGGAGGATGCGCAGAGGATCTAAATTGCAGGAACAGAAGCCTCCAATGGCAGGGGAATATAAATTGATGAGGGGAAGGCTGTGTGGACGGACAGCGAGTGATGACTTAGAAAGTACAGCTGCTCAGAACCACAGGTACCTGGGGTGGAGGCTTGAGAAAAGGATTCTGCTCGGGAGAATTGGAGAAGAAGAATGGGATTAATTTAGGAAACAGAGCAGACCGAAAGGGGCCACATGGGCAACGTGGTGACGTCGAAAATTGAATAGTTGATGGGGAAAAGAATTAAGTGAACAGTGAAAGCCTCGTCCGGAGGAAATGCTTCTGGAACCAAATTTCCCTTTATTCTTCCTCCGGCTTCATCTTTGATCCTTCCTCAGAATATGAGTATTCAACTAAAAAGCGACGAAAAAAAGAGTTTGACCGCCGCCATCACTTTTTTGGGACGGAGTCAAATGGACATGGCCGAAGGATCGGTGGGGAGACAGAAGGAGGGGTGGAGACCCGGTAATTTGTGAAAATGATCTTCCCTTGAGTAAATTGCTTCCATAGGTACATCCCGGTATTATTGGTATTACAAATGTATGCTAAATACAGTACTGAGAATACCTAAGGTAGGTATACTCTGCGACAGTATCTGGTATGGATTACTCCGTACAACCTCGTCGATAGCAAAAATTACTCAGAAGGTCAAGTCAAACAGACAATTCACCTTTGACTGAACCATATATGACATCATCTCCTATACCAACTATCCTATGGGAGTATAACTATCAATGTGTGGGACCTCTCAATTAGCTAGATCCATGTCCTAAAGTCCATCCTCAATCACACTCTTAGAGACTGTGGTATCAGTCCGATATTGACCTTCCGAGAGCCACATAAAGGGAAAGGAAAATACTGGAAGTGTCCTGCATACAAGATAAGGTCTCAAAACGTGCACCATCCTAGCCCAGATCCGTCCTCGCATAATGAGCTGGTAGATTGGAACAACAGGGCGAAGGGTGGTCGTTCAATGGGACGTCTTTGCCCATCCTACGCCTCCCGCAAGTCATTTACTCGATAGCTGGTAGGTAATCTGAAGCTTCAGCAGATTATACCCCGATTAACTGAGTTTTACCCTAATGAAAACTTGAGCCCCTACAACATAAATCGATGGTGGTGGTCATCGGGGGGTGGTGTATTCGATTCATTGGGCACGTCGATATGTCTTCAGCAGATCAAATCAACTCGGGTGTCCCATTATTGTGAGGAATTCGCCTCGGGGGGCTTGCACTAGCTGCACGAGCCAGAATGAGACACGCTCGGGAAAAGTAAAATAGAGATGAACAACCTTATTTTGAGCAGCCATAATTGCGGTCATGGCGGTGAGAAAACCACTGCCATGTCCCCTAAGTATCCAAAGTACATGGAGAGCAATGTAGACAGCAACTGCTCTACGACACAACCATTTGCACCAGCAGGGCTTGATAGGCACCTGCAATCTGTCGGTTCTCCTAAACAGCATTCGGCTAACTAGACCAACCCGTTGAAGCAAGCTTCAATGTCGTCGGTGCAGCGGTGCTTCGCACGTACCTCGATGAGGGAATTAGATATACTAGATATCATAACAGCGTTTGTGCCCTCGACCTGAAAACTCGCAGACAAATCTTTCTCCTAGCCATTTTCAAGCTCTGCAACACCTTGTGACATACTTATGGCAGCGCTTGAAGCGAGGTACTGACAGCTACGTATGTATTTGATGCAGGCTGTCATTGTATTGTATGGAGGAACAGACTTTAATGCCTGAGGCACACCTCATGACCGTTGTCGCCCCGTTTTCCGTCCCGGCCAAAGTACCCGCCAATGACAACTCTCCCTTATGACAGCTGCAAGCCCGCCAATAAGATGTGTTACACAAGCACCTCGTTGGAATCCATGAATTATTGTCTATCTGTTCATCCATTCCTTTTTCTCTGTATTTTTCCCAATTGTTCTTTCTTCATCGCAGACACTCAAGTCATTCCGGGATTCGGATGATGCGCTTACAGAATAATTACTTAGTGATCCACAATATTCTATTCTATAGAAGTACATGTGACGAAATTGCATATTGCGAGCTGGGGAGCTGTTATATCGAACATCATCTTAGAGTCCCCAGTAGCTATTCTGTAAGTGCTTCTTTGCTAACTAGATGGAGTCTGGAACATGTAGATACCGATAAGTGCTTCATTAAGCGTTGTCGTTTAGTGGCTCTAAATGTTTCAAAATGGTCTTATCAAGTTGCCATGGTCCAGGTCGGACACTTCACCTTATCTAGCGTTACTGATCGGCAAGCCGGACCTATTTGCTGATTGGCTTATTTCAGGAACACAGTGAACAAAGAGCAAATGAGGTATGGATCATCATGGTGAGAAAAGAAAATATCCTAGGCTGTGCGGTATTGCGTTATTTCCCACATTGGGCAAGAAATATCTAATACTAGGTACTTAGCCCAGTCCATAGGAATTTTTCACGGCCTGCATACAATTCGTGGTCTAGTGGTTGTGGTTGCCTTGACGAGCGGCCAAATCCCACGCGATAGCGGGGATTCGTGGGGCCTGATCCCTGGTTTGAGATTTAATGTCTCGACCAGGAAACCTATTGTGGAAAGCTATCTTGACACCATTATCTATTGGATGCATAAACAGCGAATGTAATAACCATCCCCGATGATGATTTTTCGAAACTATATGACAACTTTGATAGACCAAACTTTCTGTCTGGAAAGAACTTCCAAAATTTGATACACGAATCTAAGATGCAAGGGACACATGATTATGGGGCCCCATGCAAGATGAGGCACTATCTACGCCACAATAGATGATTATCCACTGCTGTACAACCCCAATGTGTTACATAATAAAGACAATGTGAAGGCCATGCAACAAGATCATTCAGCCCATGTGCCATCCATTTCTAACATAAGCAGTTCAGTTCCATCAGAGTAGTATCAGAAATTGTCCCCTGTGCTGGCATAATAATCACCATTGATATGCTTTCGTCTGATATGAGTATCATTGTCCGTCATTGACCTTATTTCGCCATCTGATATCAGTTGCACTCGCCCATTCTCCGACGAACTGAATATTTTTCTTGTGGACGAATGCGGAGTCACTCGCTTGTCAGTAACAATGGGGTTCTACTCTTCTAGCCTCTAGTTCTACTTTTGAGTACACTCGCCCCAAGGCATTGGTTCTTGGGGCACATATACGGTAGCGTACAGGAATTTCATCAATCTCACAGAGTAGCCATTGAGGAATCAATGTTCAGCCATGGCTCGATGTATATGGGCATAACGGCCATTGGTTGATAAAGAAGTGTAATCAATAAGTCCTAGGTTGTACACAGAATACAGAGTCCATGTACCGAGCCATTGTATGTTGTAGTAATACTAGATTAAGCGGGGATTGAACGCTAACTTTGAATCGGAAGCTGGACAGCACTAAGCGTGCGAATCACAGTCGATTCAATACTTTTCCGTGACCAGCAGTGGTTCAGTGTGTATGGTTTATCCATGGTCTCCATATTAGGAAACTATCTACTAGCTACAAGCCTGCAACCTACGGGCGCTCCTAGTACTTTCTAGGCTCCACTAAAATCGATTGCGTACGTACGCAATAATACTCCGTACGAGTAGTATTTTCGGACCCTTTATACATGGCTGGTTACAGACTAGTACATTTTACACATTCCAAGACGGCATGGTCGCCACAGCGGCCATGGCGCCGTTATCATAAGCCACATTCACGCCTTCTGGCCTTATTCGGGATTTGCATTTGCCCCACACCCACCATCCACCTACCTAAGGTAGGTAGGCTTACTCCGCACAAGCCAATAATCGTCACAACCAGCGGCACATTCATAACGGAGGCCCAAGCGCCCTCCCTTCGAGTTCGATGTCCTGAACTCAAAAAGCATTTCCGTTCATGCATTATTGTCATTTCGCAGGATCCTACGGAGTAGCCCTAGTCACATACCTAATTTGCTCTGCCCAGTGCTGTCCTTCGGTCAGATGCCGGACAGCAACTGCATGCTTGAACCTGGTACATGGTATGTAGCACCTTGGTACCTCTCTACTCTGGATCGGGGATTACGAATTTGCATCCATAATCCATACGACTGCATACTGCATAGACCATAGCCTACGACGACTTCAAATAGAAACATCAAAACAAAAAAAAATAAAAAATGCATGATGTCATCTCCGCTTCAAGCCACTGCTGGCGTTCCCCGAAAGTCCACACCAGATCCCACCAACCCAGCCATTCAATCATGATCGATCAGTTCTGTCAAGCCTCCAGCTGTCAGTGGTGGGTTCTTTACCCAGCAGGTCTCCATGCAACGGCACTCTAGCGCAAACGCCCATCTGCGCT